GAGAAATCAGGATTCCACTGTAGTATATGTAGAGGATATTACAAAGTGGTGCAGAGATATGAATTTCATTTTTAATTTGTAAAAACTATTTCATATTTAGCAAGCATAGTGAGTAAAACATTGTCTTGAACACAAGAAAATATAATTCATATCTTTTTTATTTTATAGACAAACTGCCTGTTTGCGCATTCAAAAAACCATGAAGAAGCGGGAAATGGCGTCATCAATACCCCCACAGGCACTAGCAAGGATACGGAAAATATACCACTTGAGTCCCAGAGCTAGTTTCGTATGAATTTAATGAGTGGCGTATTTTCTATTACCGATATATAATAAATAGAGGATTTTACACAGTGGCAGAGAGAGATATGTACTTTACTTTGAAGCGGTAAAATATTATTTTGAACAAGAGAAATTCAAATTTATGTATTTAAGACACCATGCAATTTTCTTTTTATTCAATCTATAGAAACAAGTGTTTTACTGAGAAAAAGTTGTGAAAAGTGCCAAAAGACATCATAAATTTATTCTCACTAGTGAAGATATACGGAAAATACACCACTTGGGTCCTGGATGTAGTTTCGTATGAATTTTACAAGTGGTGTATTTTACACACAAAAAAAATAAATAAATAATATTTATGTCTTAATAGTAAATAGAGGATATTACACAGTGATGAGAAGATATGAATTTTATGTTCGAGTGGCAAGAACAATATCTCATGAGTGAACGCAGCAAACGAGTGAGATATTGTTCTTGGCACAAGAACACAAAATTCATATCTTTGAGATAACGTGTAATGTTCTTTTTATTATATAGACACACTGATGAGGGGGGCATTTTTGACGATTTTCCAAAGATTTCTGACCACTTTCCGAAGATTTCCGAAAAATCTCCAAAACTTGACAATGTCAGAAGGTCACAAGAATGCTGCAAAAGATTTCTGAAAAATTCCAAAGATAACCGAAGATTTCCGAAGATTGCACGAAGACTTCCAAGGAAGACCCGAAAATGTTTCAATGATACACCAACGAAATAAGGAAAAATTTGAGACAAAAACTTGATATCAGTGAAATTATCCATATCTCACTAGTGAGGATATGGAAAATACACCACTTGAGTCCCGGATGTGGTTTCGTATGAATTTTACGAGTGGGGTATTTTCCATTTAGAGCGTCTCTTTGACTCTGCTCACAGACAAAAGGATCTTGATTAGAAGTCTTTAGAGTTATATTAACTGCCACAAATAATACAGGCATTATTGAAAGGTTGTGAGTTTCAGCCATCCCTGCTTCATTTTCAGAGGAAGCCCCGACATAGTGAGCCCATTTATAACCATGTCCTAGCAAGTGAGTTATTCCGAGCAGTCAAAAAGACTAAAAGTAACAAGTATCCCAACCTGATCAATCAATGAAACTGATAATCGATAACAATTAATCGATTGATATCGGAAATCGATGACCAATCAATGAACAAAAATTTTGTGTTTTTCAATTACCATCGATTGCCATCGATTGTCGTCAATTGTCATCACTTGTCATCAATTATTATCGATTCCCATCGATTGCCATTGACTAGCAATTTCATCGACTTCCATATTTTTGGGGCGGGTCTATAAAATACGTATCGTATCTGGACTTGCCAAAGTTGCTAAAGCAATAAGAGCTGCGCCAGTTACTTCTACTCTAACTTAGCCGGGAGCTTAGGTAGGTCAGGAGAGTAAAATGAAGAAAGATGGTTGATGCGTAAAAGCAGCTAATTCCCTGGGTTGATGTTCTCCACAATCGTGTATCTCATCTTCTTTGACTGCAAAAGGGCCACTTAAGTAGATGTTCAAAATAGCTTGACAGACGGTTATTTCGTGGAAATTTCGGCAGAAAACAAGAAGTAGCCAGACACCTGAGACACTTACTTAGCTGCGAGCAGAACCCAAAGATCGATTACAATTAAATCAGCGGGACATCAAGCAAACGTAAATAAAAAATCGATGGCAATCGATGGCAATCCGATGGCAATCTATTGCAATTGATACCATTTAGAGGACTTGAGCTTGTGATTATCGATTGGTCATTGATTGGCTGATAGCAATCGATAACAATTAGCTAATTGTCATCGATTGATATCGATTGATCGATTGGATTTCCGATCATCGATTGATCAGACCGGGCATGTATGGAAGGCAGAACCCTGGTACTATAATCAGTATAGTTTTCTTTGTTACATGTAGATAGGGACTTCTCTGTATTTGAGGTAGCAAGGGAGTTGTTAGAAATCA